CAACCACAAAAAAAAAAAAGAGAGAGAGAGAGAGAACAGATGAAGCCAACACAGAGCATGTTCCAAATGGGCACCTCTGGGTGACGGAGACCGGGTATTCAGGGACCCGCAGCAATCCCGGGGGATGCTGATTAGAATTTCAGAATCCTGGCCCCACCCCGGATCTGCTGGACGAGAATCCACATTTTACCAAGATCCCTAGATGATCCGTGAACGCACAGCAGTTCGAGAAGCGCTGTGCTGTACTATTCCTTTCTGTCTGTTTGGAACCGTTTAAGGATTATAACGATGGAAAGAGAAAAGAGCTTGCTTGCGGAGAAGCGTTTCAAGCAAACGCAGGCACTGCTTTTTCGCCAATTCAAAAGTTGGCAGCTTAGGGACCGCGTGTTTTCAAAGTGCCGAGACATGTGCCCATGTCTTTGCCTGGACTTCCTCATTCAATCCTCACCCCCGCTCGAGGTCGGGAGGAAGGTGCCGTTATTATCGTCCTCGTTTCATTGACGGGGAAACTGACGCCTGATAGTTGCTGGCCCCTGGCGCCAAGTTAAATGCTAAGTCAAACAGCGGGGCTGGGCTTAAATCCTGCCCTTTGGTCTTTAGACCACAGGGTGCAAGGTCCTGGCTTTTCACCCGAAAGGGACTCCACTCCGTGGCCCCAAGGGTTGCAAGGTCCTTACCTGCCCCTCCTTTCTCATTTCACCCATCGCATGTTTCTTGAGGGCCTCCTGTTCCCTCACGCCCAGGGATGTGCCGAACCCCAGGAATTCAGGGCCGAGCGGGACTTGCCTGGACCCTGTGGAGCTCACAGGCCGGTGGGGCAGACGGCTGGGCAACCCAACACCGACATTACGGCCCGTGGGAGAACCGCTAGATGGGTGCCTCGTGCCGCTGCGGGAGGCCAGGGAGGGCTTCCTGGAGGAAGGTCCCCGCAGGTGACGTCGGAAGGGGCTCGGTCTGGGAGACTCGTGGCAGGCGGCTCCGCTCTGCCGGTGGGCTGGGGGGGGGGGGGGGGGGTGGGGACGGGCGGCCTTGGGAGGTGTGGGCGGTGCTGGGGGCTCACCTTCATCATGAGCACGATGGTGTTGAGGGCGATCATGGCCATGATGGTGTACTCGAAAGGCGGGGACACCACGAACTGCCACATGCGATACTGGAAGCTTTGCTTGTTCTGCGGCATGTGTCGGGTCAGCGGTTTGGCACTGATGGCGAAGTCGATGCAGGCCCTCTGCGGGAGACAGGCCGGCGGCTGGACACGGGGCACCCCCCCCCACCCCCCAGCCCTCGGGCACATCAGCCGAGCCTGCCCCCAGCCAGGATTCCTCACGCCCGCTGGGTCTTCTCGCCCGCTTCCTCCTGCCAACACCCGCGGTTCCCTAAGAAGTCGTCATCTGCCCACGTGGGATGCCATCAGCAACCCTGCTTTGCAGGCTCAGAGAGGCTGAGTCACTTGCCTGAGGCAGCACAGCTGCCAAGCGGGCCAAACCCGAACCTAACCGTTCTTTCCTACTGAGCTCTTTGCTTCGTTTCCTCCTTCCCTTCGAAGGACGGAGGGATAATGGCCATTCAGTGTGAGGGGCCAACAGAGCAGAGGAAGGATGCATTCCCAGGTCCTCCACCTGGCTGAGCTCGGACGGTTCTAGAAGAGCCAAGGGCCACATCTGCGCTCTCTCGGGAGGACTGGAGTTTCACTCACAAATATGCACCACCCTGCCCTCAGGGAGATTACACTTCGCCACCCCATGGACATCAGACACAGATGTGTGACTTCCTCTGGCCAGTGAGATGTGGATGGGTGGATGGAAGGGTCGCTTCCGGGCACAGATCCCGCCCCCCCCGCCCCCGAAAGTGCACAGTGGTTTGCCATTATCTCTTCTTGATCTGAAGTGTCTCGGAGAGCAACCAGAATAAAGGTAACGTGGACCAGAGCCGCCTGGACGTGCGGTGCTGGGCAAGAAATCAATCGATCCCTGTGTGGGCATCTGGCACGGAGATTCCGGACATGCTTGTTACTGTGGCATAACCTCGTCTGAACTGACTGATACATATGCCTTCTTTCGGTGTGTTTTCCTCTGGGAACCCCATGAAGGGCGGCCCTACAGACCGAATGCTGCCTGGAGGATGCTGCTGCGCCCTCCCCAGATGCCCCCAGCAGCTGTTTCCTGGACGCACACGTGTGCCTGTGTGTGTGCCTGCGATGGGGGGCGGGAGCTGTCAATTTTTAAGTGAAGGATGCAACTGGGAAGCGGCACCTCATTTTTCTCCAGGCTGTATTCCTCCATCATCTTGTCCCCCTGCTCCTGGAAGGTGATGATGATCAAGGCCACGAAGATATTGACGAAGAAGAAGGGGAACACCACGAAGTAGACGACGTAGAAGATGGACATCTCCATGCGGTACCCGGGGCTGGGGCCCTGGTTCTCAAAGGTGGCGTCCACGGAGTGCTTGAGGACCCTGGGAGGCGCGGAGCAGGGGGAGGGGGAAAGCGGGACAAGCAACGGGAATGCAGGGAGACATTAAAAGAAAACAGCAACAAGATGGAAATAGTCGTTATTTTCCGACCCCGATTCCTGTGGTGATTTTACGAAGCCAGAAGGGTTCCCTCCTCCTTCGTCTGGGGGGAGTGTGGACAACGCTCTCAGTTACCTCTCCCACCACGTCCTGAGGGCTATCTGGGGCTAGAAATGATTTTATCTATGTCCTTGGCAACCCTCTCAGGGAGGTCATTACTGGCCCCGTTTTGCAAATGAGGAAACTGAGGTTTGGCAGTTTAAAGTGACCTGTCGAAGTTCACCCACTAAGGCCTGGCCAAGTTGGGATGGGAAACCAGGCCGGTGGGGATGGATGGGAGGGTGTATGGGAGTCATGGAGGCACACACCTAAGTGCGTGTGTGCTGGGGGTGGGGGGGCATTTAAGCACAGGTGGTGGTGCTGGGAAGGTGTGGTGGGGATGAACATGGGAGTGTGTGTCTGCAGAGCTGCTGTGAACAGCTGCACAGGTTGTGCACTGCTCAAGGGCTCTGTGTCTCAGGGGTGCCATTCGTACTGGAGACATGATAGATTTGTGCATTTATGAGGACAACTTTTTGGCAGGTGGCCACGAAGTACCTTATTTGAACAAAATCCTTCGGTACATTCCGACAACATTCTGACAGATGGAAGTGAAATCTGTTGAGGAAGCGCTGCCGAAAAAATTTGCCCAAAGGTGCCGTATGGGCTAGCACTGGCCCCGTGTGCATGGGTCCGGCCCTGGACTTGCACAGTTCAGCCTCACCACAACCCTGACTGGCCCTGTCTGGGCGAGGAACGGTCCCGTGGTCAAAGGGACTTGGAAAATGCCACGTCCAGGCCTTGTCCTTGGAGATCTGTGCTCACCAGCACAGAAAGGGTTAAGAGGACGTGACTGCCTGCGTCCACGGAGCCCTTCTGCAAACTAGAAAGCGCACCCCATCTGGGAGGGTGCGGGGCCCTGACTCTTAGGGTTCGGCGAACTGCACGGAGGGAGGCCTGCGTTTCGGCCCCAAACGAGCCCAGGCTGCTGTTCCGGTGACGGGGCCCCTCGGGCACCCAGCGGGGTCTCCACCTCGGGAAGCTGGGAGCAAACCCCTCCTGGTCCAGGCCTTTCTCAGCGCTGGGCTCTCAGACCCTTCCCCATCCTGCTCCCCGGGGGCCCCCGGCTCCCCCGTGGCGCTGTCTGGTGGGCCACTTACTGCGGCCAGCCTTCTCCCGTGGACACGGTGAAGAGAGTCAACAGAGCCCAGAGCACGTTGTCATAGTGGAACTCATACTTCTTCCACTGTCTGTCCCGGGCCTTCACCTCGTTCTTCTCGTACAGGAGGTACTTGCCGCTGATGCAGAGAACAGGGGCCGTTACTCAACGGAGGAAGGGGAGCCTCATCTCTGGTGACCAGAGGTCAGAGGACGAGGAGGCCCACCAGCCCACACGGCATCCCTCAGCCCAGGGAGTGGAAGCCCCCCGTGCGGCTCTCTGATGGACGTGCGCACCCCCTCGGAGGTCGTCACATGAGGCCACGGCCCCTGCTCCCAGCGGGAGAGCTGACTCAGGACCCAGCACTGTCTTCCAACGTGAAAACTTCCAGTCCTGCGGGGGGGGGGGG